CTAGTTCACAGTATACATCTTCATGTATAATACTGCCTTTAAGACTAGTTCACAGTATACATCTTCATGTATAATACTGCCTTTAATACTAGTTCACAGTATACATCTTCATGTATAATACTGCCTTTAATACTAGTTCACAGTATACATCTTCATGTATAATACTGCCTTTAATACTAGTTCACAGTATACATCTTCATGTATAATACTGCCTTTAATACTAGTTCACAGTATACATCTTCATGTATAATACTGCCTTTAATGACTAGTTCACAGTATTGACAAAAGTACTCTGTGTGTGTGCACCAAAAAAACCACTATTATACACAAAAAGAGAAATCTAGGCTGCACTCTACCGATTCAGTGTAAGTTTCCCATTGGTGTATGTATGTATATAGCTGGTTTCATTGATGCATGTCCACTGGTGCCACTTATGATGTATGTATATCGTGTAGGTTCCACTGTTATTTGAAACTCATAAACACACACACACACACACACACACAACCACACAGACGGCAGAGGCAAACAAAAACAACAGACCACAAGAGGCGAAAGGATTTCACAAGAAAGCCCGGTGGTGCAATATTATTGGCTTGATTCTGTGTATCGTTGCAGTGATAGGCAGTTTTGTAATAGTAATCACTGTACTGAGAGAGACACATATTTACCCCAAGATGCTTAGTTTCCATATTGATTTTGTTATGTCTCTGTTGTATACAATGCCGTCTGTAGTGAAACTTGTGTGTGAACTGTCGTGATATATACAAACCCACTTACTATATATGTACATACACGTGTGTCATAATAATTATCTGTGCAAAAATTTTTTGTCACTGAAGTTTTCTTTGCACAGCACCTGTACACTCAATCACACACACTCTCACTCTAACACAGCAATATGTGCGTGTACACGAAAAGCATCTGATCACCACCAGAAAAGCACGGAAGCTGGACGGCCCAGTTATGTTCTCTGTATAAACTCTGTAGCTGCTGCTCTAGGCTTCCAAGCCAGTGTTGGTGGCAGCAGCCAGTGCGGGTGGATTTCCCTGCTCTAAAGTGGCTCATTATAAGGCTTTATAGTTCACTCTTCAGTGACTATAGTAGCCTTAGCTAACACGTGCTCGTATATACCATGCTTTCCGCATACATGGTCACCAATAATAGAGCACATTATTAATTTTTTTATAACACAAGGAAAGAGAGAAGGGAATAATATAGGAGAGGGAGGGAGGTGGTGATATATAGCTAGAGGAGGGAAATTTTCAGTGAGCTGAGCAGTGTATCGAGGTTCTGGAGCACTTGTCTCTCCGTGTGAGTGATTCGTACGACCTCGGACATGTACCCGTGGGCCGAAGCATTGACGAAACCCATCTCGCGGGAGAGGACGGTGGATAGCTCTCGGCGAGTGTGTATCAGCTGACCCAGTCTGTCCAGCTGGGAGTCCACGTCTGTGGGGGTAGGAGAGAGGGAGGGGGTATTAGAGCCTGGATTGACTGTGTTCTGCATTCTGGGTAAATCACTATTTCACATCTGACAGAGCTTCAAGACTCAAGGCTTTAATGGGCACGGTTTTTGTGCAGAGTGTAAATGTGTCTGCTGCTGCTGCATTGTGCAACCACAGTAGGCACATACTGTACATACGTACATACATACTTACATACTACATACAGGCTACACTATGAAGGGGAATGCACAATACCATTTTAAAGTATCACATGACCACTCAATGAAGCTGATCTATAGTACGCCATTACATGAACCACATTCTGCATGACCATACAATTCAACATCTACTGACCGTTAGCATGGGAGTCTGCAACGTCTGCCTGTTGCTCAGACTCCAGTCGAGTCTCCTCCAGTAGGGCCACCAGATCGCTGCTATTGACCGATGTCAGCACATTCCTCATACACTGGGCATACTCCATATCTGGGGGAGAGGTGGCCCACATGGAGTTGTGAAAATAGCTCATCTACAACATACTGGGTTATATCAGGGGCTGGTAGCTACGTAGGTGAAATTCGTGTCTCACAGAACACCATACACTTGACCATACTACACATAACCATGAGAACAAATACTAAAATGTATACAACACCTTTTATGGCAAGCAAACACGAGAGCTTTAGAATCTTTTTACAGTGTGTGGAGTGTGGGTCACAACGTAAACAGTTTGTGAGCCAACTTCCCCACAGCTTGCCTGAAGCACAAAGTATGTATTGTTGCAAGGGGGGGGGTAGTAGTGTGTTCATAATAATTATTATTATACCCTCTCTGGAGGCCAGGACCTTCCCGGGAGGCAGTGAGGACTGAGGAATGTGGAGCCTTGGTCTGCCAACTGGTCGACTGCTCACTGGCTTCAGGACACCAGTAGTACTGGCTGATGAGACGGCCTGCTTTACCTGCTGAGAGGGTGGTAGAAAGAGAGAGATTAAGGCCGACTCCATTTGAACTGTACAGGTTTATATTTCGCAGTGAATATTGTGATATTCTTTTACTGACGAGGGATGGAACAAACTATTTTATCTACAAGACCAAAACCTTGATATCTCCAAATGTCTTACACTTTTACTGCAAATTACACCAACCTGTAGTCTGTTAATTGACTTACTTTGTCCTTGCTGGCTGGGTCATGTTCCTGGGTACTGCCAGTAGCCAGCTGGAGAGGAATGCAGAAGTCGTCCAACAGCGCCTGCATGTGCTCCAATTTCATCAGTCGGCCCGGGGCACCCCTGCAATTAGAGTGAGAGCAGGAGTAATGGGTGTAGTGAGGTATTGGTAGTACTGGTGTTTCTAAGTAATTGGCGAGTGAAGCCAGCCTACGCAGTCGTCCCAGTGTACTTTATGAAATGGTCACATTCAACAGACTTGCTTGCAATTGCCTACCACAACTAGCATTAGTTCAAGTGCAAATGCAAAGCTGGGCTTTTGGCTCGAGACAGCATTAAACAACAGAGGCATGAGGTATGTTAAAGAACTGTCCTGGGTGAAGTTGAATTGCCTCTGCCTTCTACCTCATTATTACATGTACTGTACCGTACACCAAACAGGTTATCAGCTATGAAAGGTGGTGACATACCTGATGGAGATGACTTGGGCAGATCTGAGGAGAGTGGCCTGTTGAGCAGTTGGCATGAGAGTCTCCAGCTCCAGTCGACGCAGGGCACTGGACAGATGGTTACGGTTCACCTGCAATACAACAACAGCAACACATGTCACACTAGACACCATTCTTTCGTATACGTAGATGCCCTAAATTGTTGGGGTTACTTGCACCACACAAGTGATCTACATATAGTAGTACTGTATGTATGTATAAATGGCATCACGCATATAATTTTCACCTTTCACCTTTCCCCTCACACATTAACAATTGCTCAACATTATTACATACACTCCTGATCCCAGTATCGTAAAGGTACGTATGTATGTATATATATACCTCAGGGAAGTATTTCCGCCACATCTCTGGTAGGCAGACATACTGCTCTCCATTCCACTTGCGGAGGACTGATATGTACTGTCCGTCACTGCACTGCATCTCGTGCAGAGTCGACTCAAATGCTGCGGCAGGAAAAAAACCCAAAAAACTGGTGAATAACATCTAGAATACTGTGTTATTGTGCATTTCCCAATACAAAACGCCATGTGTCAAAGGAGAAAATGTATGGGTACGAAGTTTCTATGGGAAAGCTTTCCTGTGGATTTATGCTGGTGTAGTTGTACGTAGTTGAACACCTGGATTACTACTTTAAGATTTGTCAAGGATTCTTCTCCAAAGGTATGGTGTAGGTTGTGAAGCCCTTACAAGCCACACCCACCCCACCCCTCTCTCGTTTTCTTCTTTCTCCATTTAAAAGCGCAAGCTGTTTAGACGTTGGTGCCACAAGGAGTGACGGTGTCTTACATTTAGTTTGCTCTTCCTCCTCGGCGCTGTTGGTGGTGGGCGGAGCTGTGGCCACCACTGCCGCAGTACGTATAGAAATACTGCCTGGAGACTGGAGGGGAGGGGAGGGGAGGGGAGGGGAGGGGGAGGGAGTATTGAAGTATAGAGGGGTGGTGAAGGTACAGTATGGAATATACTTACCAGTGAGGGGTGGTGAAGGTAACTCACCAGTAGAGGGGTGGAGGAAGTGTTGATATTCTCCAGGTGCTGGTGGACCTCCTCAGGCACAGGTTCCTGGAGGGCATCCAGCAGCAACCACAGCTCCTCTGTGGCTATCAGCTTACACATCGGAGACCTGCGGCAGTCAATTGACACACACATCTGCATGTTAATAGCGAGTGAAGCTAGCCTTCCTACCAAGTCAACTAAATTGCGCAAGTTTTAGATCTGAGCTCTGTATGTACAAACCTTAATGTTGTACCGCTCAAATTTTGCACTAGAATTTGCCCACCAACAGGTTTACTATGAGAAATAACCTTGGCTTGCCAATCTGATTGGTTGATTCAAACCCAGGATACTCTAAATAGTTTCACCATCGTGGCTAATTCTTATTCTTCGTACATGGCATGCAGTTGACCTGTTTGCTTTGCCTTGCCTTTCTACCTCGTTACCTTGTTGTTGACACATGGCATACACACTACATAACATATAATATACACACCTGTTAGCATGGAGTCCTAGAGCTTGTAGTTTCTTGAGGAGCTGGAGGTTGCCTTGCTCTAGAGGTAGGTCCAGGTCACGTACCATGTCAAACACCTCTGCCTTTGTGTGTCCTGCCATTACCTGTCACACCATCCAGTAACACACAGTCATTTCATGGACCAGAGTTTGTGGAAACAAATTGGTCCACACACAAGATTTCAGAATGCCCTAATGCTTGTAACAGAGACACCGGCTAAAATGCAGGCATTTCTTGAACCAGAGTTGCTTTCTTAAGACAAGGATTTCAGAATGCTTTAAAGCTTGTATCATTTCTCAAAGTGTAGACTTTGAATCTATGTATGTATGTATGTATGTATGTATGTGAATATGGGTGAAGCTTGTGTGTGTATGCTTTTGAGATGTAAAGTTGTGAAGTTATAGGCCCCCTGGATTGTAGGTCTGTGTAGGTCTAGCTAGTAGGGTTTGGTGTACATTACCTTTGCTATGAGCTCTTGCAAACAGAACTTGGTAACTCCCTTCTCGTCCACTAGTACGGTGATATCTGCATCAGCCCACGGAATATGGCCATACCGGTAACCTGCGGTACAAATGCATTACACAGGACGTGATACAGGCAAATGTGGTGGCCTATATGGACAACACCACGTCGACAATAACAGTGCAATTGTGGCATCTTCCCTGAACTGCCGTGCAATTAATAGTGACGAACATTTCTCAATACCTGCTTGCTTAGGATTAGACAAAGATGTCGACTTCGTCCGTGATTTTGTCTTGGTTTTGACGGCAGTCTCTCCGTCAGTAGCGGGTGTCTTATTGGTGAGCACCTCTTCCTCCTGTGTGTCCTCCCCTCCCTCCTCTCCTCCTCCCTCCTCTCCTCCTCCCTCCTCTCTCCATCCCTCCTCCATCTCCTCCTCGTCACTCACCACCTCACCTGGGGCACCATGACCACTTTCCACTGGAGACTGCTGGACATGAACAGACCAATCACACATAAATCTAGCTAGGGACCACCTCTCCATATCAGCCAGTTTAAAACCTCTCTATTACACTCTCTATTACAATCTCAAATTGATTGCAGCAAATGTTTGGTGATCAAGTGCGAGCTTCATGAAGTATGACTCTTGAATCGTGATGTAGAAACAAACATGATCTAACCGCACAAATTTGAATGAATAATTACAGGCTCACTTAACCTGCCAATTTTTGTTTTAGTTCACATTGAACCTGACATACCATCAGTATTCAGAGTCTATGTATATTTTACAAGTGAGAATTCAGAACATAGTTTAAACCTACCTCATTACTCCTTCTCATCTTGAAGGAGGAGGTGGAGGGAGAGGAGGAGGCTAGCTGCTGGTGCTGCTGGTGTTGGTGGCTGTGGTAGCCAGAGTAGAACCCACCAGAGAAGGCCAGTGGTACGCTGTGAACCTTTCGTCGCTTCCGAACTCCAAAGATGAAGTCAGACCTCTTGTGTGACGAGTAGGAAGAGACACAACTCTCTTCTCCTGCATAATGAGCATATTACGGCTTACCAAAGCAATGTTAACTGGAAAAGGATTGTGCAGAAGTGAGTAAATCAGTGGGCAGATGGAGAGAATACATGCACATAAGTACAGAAACCCATGCAGCAAAATTTTCCAAACAAATCAAAAGCACTAAAGTGCAATCCTTGGCGCACTGCGCATAGGCGGTGCCGCTAATTATTGATGAGTTGTGCTCTAAGTGAGGGTTAATAGACATACTTTCCTATAATTATAAACACCAAAAATTGGTAAGAGTCATAATATGCAATCTGTTGAGATGCTTAAACATTACTGCCCATGCAGCAAAAAATTATCCATTATAATTAAATTGAAAGTTCTAACATTGAAAAAAAAATTATGGGCCCAGCCCTCCATCTCTCCAGACAGACGTCTACGGACGCAGTGCTATGCCGAACTGTACGCTGTCCTTTGAGATGTATGTGGGTCAGTGGTAGATTCATGGGTAAGGGGAGGAACCAGAGCTGTTCCCAGCCAATGCTCTGGACCACCTGTCAGTTTCAGTGCGGGTCCGGGATTCGAACCGGGCACCTTAAGTGACAGTCCCCACGTCTCTAACCACTTAGCCACTCGGGCTGGCCACGAGAATGATGAAAAAACGTCCCTCTTATAGCAACACTCATATTACATCATTATAAAAAAACGACCCAGACCCGGGATCGAACCACTGCAAGAGTGATGGTCCTTATCCATCAGACCACACCCAATATTTGCCAGGAGCAGGTTCAATACTATAGCACTAGAGTGCAAACCCTCGGCACAATGCACGTTGACGCCCCATGTACAGGCCCATACCGCTAATTGATTGGTTGGGCTACACTGTTGTCGTAATCTCTTGTAGCGCTGACGTACAGGTACATAATGATAGAAGAGCCTGATCCACTGCGCACGCAGACGTATATAGATATACAGAATGTACAAAATAAGACCAATGCATGCGTAAACATAAATACGTATGTACACAGTATGACATCATAGAGCTGACCTTCCTTGGGTCTAGCACTGGGGGCCTTGTCCAGACTCTGTCCACACTCATTACAACGAGCCATCCTGGCCAGGTTGACTCGCCCGCAGTACAAACACTGCTTCCTACCAAACGTGTACACTCCAAAGTTCTTATTGCAGGCGCTGCACTTCTTGCTCCGTTTGAGGACCTGGGCCCCGCAGAATGGACACGGCTTCTTCTTGGTTCTGCTGCTCAGGGGAATGGAAGTAATACCAAGTAATATGGACAGAATGAAACTGGGAGATGGATATCTTAGGCAGTCACTTAGAAGCCTCGGGGCTTTAGTTGATGTTATACCTCTGCTACCTGGGTTCAACCGATGAGCTAGAGCAAAGTCTAAAATTGACGCGACCTATTGCCACATAGTACATAGGTTTTGTGGTAAATAGTAAACACATGTTTTCCAAACACGTTTAAGTGTGGGTGCCCTTGAACCTTGATATGGGTGAGAGTGGGCGTTTGATGAGTGGCGGAGGGGAACGTTTCCCAAGCTTGTGGTGCTTTTCCTTCTTGTTCAGTGCCCAGTTTCCCGCCCCACCCTCCCTCTCTCCTCCCTCCTCCTCTTCCTCCCTCTCCCCCTCTTCTTCTCCCTCCACCTCCTCTTCTCCCTCCAGCAGCTCCCTCTCACCACCCACAGAGCTGCTGGTTGAGGCCTTGGGTACCTTCCTGCCACCACCACCAACACTCTCCTTTACCTATTACAGCAGACATTGTGTGCATGAATAGACAAAAACGATTAACAGTGGAACCCCTCTCTAATGATACCCCTGAAATGAGTACACTTCCCAAATAAAGCTAATATGAACATTGGTGCCAGGATTAGAGGGATCCCAATGCAAAGGGCCCAGTACAACAATGCACTAAACTTTCCCTGTTTCAATAACAGACTGCCACATTCCCTTTTAAGTATCTGTGTCAGTACTTTAGGCTCAAACATGGCTGATGCAGCTTGTTGCCAACATGGAGCTTTCTGTACGTAAATCAGTGACATCCTTAAGTAGAGCATTACCAAAGGCTCCAATGCAAAACCAAGAACGGCAAGGATAAAAACTAAAGGCCTCACCTCTCCCCCCTGATCCTTCCCACTGCTCCTCCTAGTCTCCTGGTCAACCATATCTGCCTTCCTCTTGCTCCTGTGCTCCTCGTCTTTCCTCCATTTCTTCTTGTTCTTCTTCGACTTGGGTTTGTAGGGTCGGCCCTTCTCCGTGAATGAGCAGAGTGGGATCTCCTCCAGATGGAGTGGACCCAGGCTCTCTGGCTCTATGCTGCTCAGGTCTATCACTGCGTGGTACACATACATACGTGTGGCAGGGAAAGAGAGAGTATTAAATGCTTGTATGTAGGTGACGCGTGCACAACTAGAATTTTGAATCCCACCATCAATAACAAAGAGTTGTTCTAGGTGCAGTTGACTTGTTTACTTTGCCTTTGCCTTGCTACCTCGTTTTTGTCACATGCATACATAAATACGCCCCTAACCTCTATGCCTACACGCATGTTTGCAACAATGTCATTAAACTGTGTTGAGGGTGGGTTTAGCACTCTTAGACATCACTATTACATCACCCGCAATAGCTATGTACAGCAGTGATCTGGGTGTGGTGTGGTGTGTGTGTGTGTGTGTGTGTGTGACAGGTTGACCATGTTTTATTTATGTACCTCTCCTTCCTTTGGGTAGTTCGTTGCGACAGAGGGAGTCGAGGGTGTCAGGGAGGGACAGACCGTAGTGGGTGCACATGCCACGCACATGCTCCAGGTCCATCAGTCGACACGTGTGACATGACTCAAGCATTCCTCCCATCCTCTTCAAAATGTACACCTGTATAATACACGTGTAGTACATAAATACGTACATAAATACGTACATAAATACGTGTGTAGTGTGTACCGATATAATATAATGTGCATATCACATCATTGTCACAGTCTCCAGGTTGATGATCGATTCAGCATCTTGTGTATGTTGCATTGCACCTAGTAGTAGCTCTTTTCAACTACAACCAAGGTTAGCAACGCAAAGCAAACAAGTCAACTACACCCAGGTCAACACTCTCTTTTTACATAGCATCCATTTATCAGAAGCACAGTAGGGGGCTGTCTGCCAGTTCAATACACACAATACTGGTGATTATGTACGTGTGCGGTACTGAGCACCTACACACTCACCCAGTGTATGGGGAGTTTGAAGCTCTTGATCTGGTTCTTGTAGGTGTATATGTACACGGCATTGGGAGACAGGGTCATAAACAGTTTGTTCCGTAGTTCATAGACGGAGAAACAGGGTCCGGGGACGTGTACCGAGCTGGTCGTCGACGTAGACATGTCGTCGTCATCTGTGGAGAGTTATACGCACATTGCTGCATGCACAAAGTGAGCTATATGGAAGTAATGTGGCAAGTTTAGATCAGTGTGAGCCACGTGTGCAGAGCACAGTTTTTTACTTACGTACACATGATAAACTCATGCACACAATCTGAATAACGCTACATGAAATTTGCACGTAAACAAGTGGTAGTAGCTTTCAAAAAGGCAATTGCATGGAAATTCCATGAATTTTGGTTTTGGCCTTTTGGTGTGGTGCAGTAGTGCTTTGGACAAGTATGTAGGCGGGCTTGCTGTAGTGAGAGAGAGGGTACTCTGCCTTACCTGCACCCTCCTCCACGTCATATCCAGACAACTCCTTCAGGACCGGTTTTCTCCTTCTTCGCCTCTCTCCTCCTCCTCCTCCCGCTGGCTTGTGCCCCGTCTCGCTACTCTGCCCCTGCCCCTCCTGCCCCTGGGTTGATGAATCGTGGAATTGGTTATCATCTAGAGTGAATACTGAATGTAAATTACTGCTCACTGTCACATTGTTTCATCTTCACTGAATGTGACATTACACTCTTGTATAGGGTATTAGAAATGGTGTACTTTGTAGTCAAAAAGCTATGAAAACTTATATGCTCCCATGACCAGCTTCATATTCTCAGCCATAGCAGTTCAAGATAGGCAGGACAAACGATATTTCCCCCAACAAGTTTACAAAATCTAAACACTTCGTTCATTAGTCGCAAGCAAAAAAATGTGACACTAGCTTGACCCTACAAACACAGCTACCACACGAGAGACAGACCTCTTGAGGGTCACTGGTGTGAGGAGTTGGAGGAAGGTGATGAGTGGCAGAGTCCAGTGAGTGGGTGAGTCTGTCTTTCTCCCCAAGAGGGACCAGGAGGACCATCCTGTAGTCCATCCACGTCAGGTGGTGCAGGAAACAGTCTGCACACAATGAAATTCCACACATTGTAAGGTAAGAGAAATGTACATATGTACAATTAACACATGATTCTTACTAGTGCACATTTAGTAGGGGCACAAGTGTGGACACAAATACTACATTGGAGCACTGCAGTGTGTGTGCACACAGGTATGGCTTTCTACAGTGGTCAGATACCCTTGTGGGTATGGTTGGCTATTTTCAGATTGAACATCTACCACTGTATTACCGATGACAAATCCATTATCCCTATACAGTTAGGGTGTTCCAAATGTTTTCCCTCACACAACTTGCTTGGTAAAATTACGGAAAAGGAATTATTTGCCGCTGCTAATAACTCTGTTAAAAGTTTAGGCCACCCTAGCATCGTTAAGTTTGCACTGCATACTCCCGCATTAGTCAAGGTACTCAGAACGGTTGGTTGGCCCGTCCGTCATTTTATTTGCTTGGCAAAAGTACGAAAAATTTAGGGCAATCTACAACCCCTTGCCACTGCAGTTTCAAGCTCGAGCCAAGGTAGTATTCAGGATAGTTGGTCTGTCTGTCCTTCTCCCCACTTCTTTGGTAAAAGTACGAAACCTTAGGTCACACTACCACTCCTAATCTACTGGGGTTTAAGTAATGATACCTCAACACTCGCTGTGTGCTGTGCGCACACGAGGCCACTTGTGTTCAGTGACTACAAAAGGATGCAGAAGTTCATGATGCTCATTTTACCTTTTAGTTTCACGGAGAACATGTGCGTCTTCTTGCCAGAGCTACCTGCGAATGCGGCAAGGAAAAGACGATACTCAATCAGCTCACACAATCGCAATGACTTTGACTAGAGTACACAGTGTATAGGCATAAAACTCATGCACACTGCTGCAATAAAATACTCCCAACACACGTAATTCTTTTGTGCATGTCATTAGTAACATCCGAACGTGAACATTGCTGTGAAGGGTTGCTGCTCATATTTCTCTTGGATGAGCGTAAGCCTATAATTCTCTGGCTTACGTGATACCATTGTCTTGCAATACATAGAAAACTATAGAGAACTCTCATTTTTGGTATTTTTGTAGGCTAGCTCTGCTCGCCAAGTTCAATGGGTATACAATAACCGTGGTATATATCAGTACATACCTGAGGAGGATTTCCTTCGTTTCTTTGACGGTTTCCCCTTTTCTCCGTCTCTCTCTTTGGCCCCTCCCTCCCACCCCTCCTTCTCCTCCGCCCTCTCCCTCGCCCTCACCCTCTTCCTACCACTGACAGAAGACAGAACAGTACACGGAGCAGACATGCCAGTTTGGTCCATGTTAAAACATTGGCTCGACAAGATTAGAGGGAACGTGTCAGGTACAAATGGAGTGACAAACCAGGTAACAATATAGGGATTGTGTGATGGGGTTGGGGGTGTCAGCTACATAAGGCTAAATTTAGTTTCCATTTTGAGGGACAGTTTATAAATTCTTAACTAGTGGAATAATTATGATAATAGCTAGAGTCATGTATTCAATTTTGAAGTACGAGACACACTTTGCATAACACATCATCAACTTATCTCTAGGCAGCTACGTACGCCAATATTATTGGCTACGACCTTCTAGGGGATCTGTAGATATTGATTGATACATAAATAGATGTTGTCCCACGTAAAGATGCAAGGTGTAAGTCCCAGTGATTGAGAAAGCACTGCATTCTATGCTGTCAGTGAGACAGTGTACCTAGTCGTAGGGATTGCGTGACGCAGTGCATAACCAAACACTCTACAGTGCATGAGAAAGTATGGAGAAGGCTAGGGAGTAAATGATACAGACGACTCAGTTTGTTTGTGGTTACTTGCGTGGCTTGTAGCAACTTACAAATACACACACCATAACTGACATGACAAATGTGCATATGCTGCATAGCTGATATTGTAGGCCACAGTTTTGTTGATCTATTAGCCAACCAATTTTGGTAAGCACTATGTATATGCAGGTGAACGAACACACTCACTCGGTGTCATTGCCAGAGTGTCCAGTATATTTTGACTCCTGCTGCTCATATCTCTGGTCACCACTGGCCCCACCCATCATCTCGACCTTTGACCCTGGCCCCTCCCCCTCGCTGCTCCCGTCACTCACCAGAGTTTCTTCACTCATCAGTTTGGCATAGCCTGTGGCAGATGACAAGTAAACAACTATACATACATACATACTTACATACATACATACATACATACATACATACATACTTACATACATACGTACATACATACATACATACATACATACATACATACATACTACATACATACATACAAAGTGAAGCTGTCCTTTTGCAAATTATACCATAGTACGGTACTTCTACAGGCAAACTGTAGAAAAATCACCTCCACCCAAAATGTTTTATTAACTTTATGAGCACTGAAGGTCTCCTTACTATATACAATATAATAGTGTATCGTACATCTTTTGTATACGGAAATCATGTAATTACACAGTCTAAGAGAAGAACCAGCTTCTGTCAAGGATTGGGCACGGGGCAGTCCATAACATTAAACACTTACTGTCACTCTCTTTGTCGGAGTCCTGGTCGAGGACCTGAGGTTTGTCTCGGCTGTTGCCCAGGTCCACTACCGAGGAGGCCTCAAACTTCCCCTCCTCCAAACTCCCCGTCGGAGACGGACTCAGTGTAATGACAGCCCGTGAAGTCGAGGAGATTAACACATCGTTGGAGCCCTTGACTGATTGGACGGGGATTAAAGGGTCGTCCCCACTCTTGAGACTGCTGGTGCTGCTATGTCGACTCCCCTCTCGCCCCATGCGGTCCCCGGCATGGCTCAGTGCAGTCGAGATGGGTCCGGCGAGCTTGGTGATGACCACGCCCCTCTTTTTCTGTGGGGGAGGGTGTGGCATGAGGTACTGAGCGTGGCTAGTGCTGTTTGGTCCCTTTGAAACAAATGACAGCGGAGGACCCGGGGTCAAAGGTGGCGGAACAGGGGGGAAAACTGCGGCGGTGGTGGTAACAGGTGCGGGGACATGTGGCAGCGGTATTGCTGGTTCAGAGGCTTTTGATTCTGGTGCGCTCTTGGACAGGGCTTCATTGATACGTGACTGCACGTTTGTTACCAGCACCTGTCATAAAAAGGGGACAATGACTCCAGTTAGTTACACTATGGGCAAAAACAAAGAAAGTCAACAACGCACACATTGTGCCCTCAGGTACAAGGTGTGTGTGTGTGTGTGTATGCAGAACAATGAGCCCTTGTACATGTTAACCTTAATATTACAGATTGCATTGTACGTCTGCATGTACATACACATACGTACCTGAAGGTTAGAGTCTACAGATGTGGTAGTGGAGGAGGATGGCTGGAGTCCTGGGCACACTTTCGGTGACGTGATGCTCTGAGTGTAGATGACCTGCTGATGGCCAAGAGGTGGCAAGCCACTGGAGATACTGCCGGCCATGCCAGGGACGGCGCCTGAACTGATCCCCGGTCTCAACAGGGAAGGGATGAGTGGGGCTGGGGCCGTGAGGTGATGGGAAGTAGCAAACAGGGGATTTGACGAGGAGGGTTCGCCCCCTGGATCGAGTGCGTGAGAGGTGAGGGGAAATGAACGGGAGGAAGGAGGGTACGGGGGTTGTAGAAGGTGTGGTGGAGGAGGAAGGAGGCCCAGCCCAGCAAGAGCTTGGGAGGGAGCGCTGTTCGTTGAGGAGGGTTCAGGGAGAGAAGAAATCAATAGAGGCTGCACACCGGGGTCAGATGGCATCTGAGGTAGCGTGACATTGGTCCCGGTAGGAAAGGGGAGGACGTTTGTATGAGTAGGAAGAAAGGGAAGGGAGGTGAAAATTGGGGCACTGGTCATGGGAAGTGTCACGTACGAGGAGGAAGAGGAGGACGAGATGTTGGATTGGATCACAGGAAGAGGAACGGCTGCAGTCGAGGTGGTAGTCGAGGATAGGAAAAGCTCTGGTGTTGAAGTGAGGGGTGGCGGTGGTTGCTGGCCAAAGAGGACGGACTGGAAGAGTGGCTTGAGGTCTCTGGGTACCAGGGACGATGGTGGAGCAGGAGGAGGGAGAGGAGGGAGGTTCGTGGGATTTGCTGTCAGCTGTGGAGGGTTGGGAAGAGTGAGGAGTTGCGGGGAGAGAGAGCTGGATATAGCCGGCATGAAGGACTTGAGGGTGTCCATCTTAACTGCGGTCTGCGTTCCGACGGATGCCTCGTTCTGAGCCAAGAGCTGTTCCCCAGGTACGGAGCCTGGTGGGCCCAGGGAGGGGAACATGGTGGGTAGAGCCAGTGGCAGTGCAGCCGTAGTCGTAGGTATGAAGGTGGTAGTGGACAAGGTTTGAGTTGCAGATGTTGTGGCGGTGGAGGGAAGCAGTGGTCGAGCTGTGACCTGTGTACCAGAGAGCCTGATGGGAGCAGTGGCTATTGGCATGTTGGACAGCACCGCAGCCAAGGACTGGAAAGACATTGTGAGGGGTGGAAAGAAGTTTGAAGCGAGCGGGTTGGAGGCGGCGGAAGAAGACGGACTACACGCAACTAGGGAGGTCCCGCCGGCACTACTGACAATGCCGCCACCAGAAATACCTGCGATGCTGGGGTTTTGAGTGGAGAGAACTGTCTGCAGAAGAGAGAGGATACCCGAAGAGGACATTCTGAGGGTGCTGGCTAGCTGGTGGCAGAGCTGGGGTATTTTCAGTGGAAGCTGCCCCATGGGACCCCCAGGGGCACTTGCCGTCGACGTCAGTGGGTTGTTGGGTGCAATTGTAGCGAGTTTCTTCTTCTTGAGAGGTGGCTCTTGCGACTCCTTCAGCTTTGAGGGAGATCGCTTGGTAGAAGACGTCTTGGGTCCTTCACCCAACCCAGAGCCACTGGGTCCGGCAGGGCCAAGTGAAGATCCTAGCTTTCCATCCTCTGTGTAGAAGTACTGCGAGAAAGAGTGCTTGGGGTGTTGCCCCAGGACAATCGAGGGGGACATGCTCGGTTTGCGTTGCAGTTCCTGAGCGATTGAAGTTGCAAGCATCGAAATAGCTGCAGTCGACTGCTCCTCCGTTACTGTAGGGGGTGTTGCTGTCATTACCTTGGACTTCTTGGTTCTGGGCTTTCTGGGTTTGCTCTGTTTCGTCTCCTCCTTTTTCTCCTGCAACTTCGGCTGCTTCCTCTTCCTGGACGTGAGTGGCTTTCCGTCTTTCCCCACAGCTCCTTTCCCCTTCCCTTGTTTCTGTGCCGGCTTGGCAGTTATCTTGGGAGGATCTGGTCGGCCAGAGTTGAGGGTTGCTGTAGTGGCAGGAGGGAGAGTACCACTCTCAGTGACCACCATATCATCACATGGTGGAGCCACACTCTCTGTGGCTGCTGGTATGGAAACAGAAGTCTCTGAAACTAGGGCGTTGGTGGTTATGGTGCAGGCTTCAGTGATGGACATAGTTTGAATATCCATACTCGCAGTAGACAGAATGGGAAAGTTGCTGCTCGCAGCTGAAGAGACTGTGGAAGAGTTTTGATTTGGCTGAGACTTTCCCTGGTCTTCCAGGCCCTGCAGGTTACTCGTGTAGAGCACAGGCAAACCTAGGGACCCACCGCTGGCAGTAGCAGTAGTTGTGGAGGTGGCCACGTCCTTGAAGGTTGCACTGAGAGCTCCGCCCTGTTCACTGACACCCTGGGCATGACTCAGCACCGAGCGGAGAAATGGCAAACTCCTGCTGATGTTTGAAAACACTTCCACCTCCTCACTCTCTCCCTTTTCTCCTTTTTCGTCACCCCCGTCGGTAATTCTGTCTGTTTGCACGGCACTGCTGAGTGTAAACGGTGGCTGGGAAACTGGTGGAAATAAAGGGTCTACTGCCATGGGAAGCGGTTCACTGTAACTCGAACCGTTGGTCTCTCTCTGAGTTTGCTCAGCAGCGTCTGATGCAGATGCACAAGTCGTCTCACCTCTGTTGTTTGCCTCTTCTCCCCGACTCTCAGCCGCAACATCAATACTAAGTCCAACTGATGTAGGTGGGAGTTTCATGGGTATACTTGGGCACTGCTCGAGTTGTAATGCACCGCAGGGAACAACTTGCACTTCCTGGTCCACAAACAAAGCAGACCCACCAGAGCTTTGGTTATTTTTATCCAACTCCTGGACTTTTTCGTTTCGCTGCTCCTCTGGTGGCTGTGGTGGTGACAGTGTAAGTGGTAGTGGTGCTTTGGTATGTGGTGGGGACAGGGTTGGCTCTAGTGGTTGTACTGACTCTGCCTCCAGTGGAGCTGCTGTACTGGTCTCTGTGGCAGTAGCTGGTGGGGAGAGAGGCTGGGGTTCTGGGATTGGGGAGATGGCAGGGGAGGGAGAGTCAGGTGTTGTAACTGGGGAGACTGGCAGGGGTGCTGGGGAGAGCGGCTGGGGTGTTGTGGCTGTAGAGAGGGGCTGAGTGGTATTTGCCACCTCATCCATTCGTAGACACTCATTGGAATTCTCTTGTTTGACCTCTTCCACTGAAGTAGACAGTGGTGTGTTGGAAGCGCCTTGTTCTGCTGTTTGAACTGAGGAAAATGCTGTCTTGGTAGCAACTCCTCCGAATGCAGTAGCCAGTGATGCTCTGGAAATTTCCACCAAAGTAGAAATAACTGTTGCACCTTGCTCGGCTACTCCCACTGAAGTCAATGGTGCTGCATTCATGAACAGAGTGTCTTCGAAAGGTTGGTTATCCTGGGTGTAGGAGGTAGTTGCTAGTGTAGCAGGAGACTTGGGATCAGTGACTGGTGCCTCCTTTGATTTTTCAGATACACTTGCCCCCTGATTAATAGAAGGTGTGGCACTTGGCTGTGGTGACAGTTCTGTGTCAGCCTGCACTGAACCTTTTGAGACTTTCTTGCTACCGCAAACTGCCTCAGGTGAGGTAGTTTGTTTGTACGCCCTCCCACTACGTGTGGTTGCCATGATAGTGCCTTCCATACTAAGACTCTGAGGAATAAGACTCTGTGGTACCGCACTTGTCATGTCGGTTGAGATCACCACAGCCTCGGTCCGACTCTTGCGTTTACCTTTCCCCTTACCGTGTTTCTTCTCCTCGACCCCTTCCTCCATTTCTGTCGTCTCCTCGTATTCTGCATTGTCAAAGACATCGGGCTTACCTTCACTCCACTCGCCGGGAATTCCATCTAGTTCTGACGGGTCGGGTGTGACCCTAGCAGAAGTACTGCTGCTTTCCACGCTCTCCACGCCATCACCTTCCTCCACAGCCATCCCCGAGCTCTGCTGCTCTGCCATATCGTACGGGAGCTTGAACCCACACTTCTCACAGTTGGAAGGGAAACGCTCAAAACGTCGAGACTTGCGACTGAAGTGGCAGTTGGGGCACGGCGGGATCTTGCAGCGTTGAGCCCAGTGCGAGAAAA